TATTTGAAAATAATAAAGACCTTTATTATTATTATTATTATGTATATGGTTCGATCCTTAATAACAATGCGGTTAGTATCAAAGCTTTGAGAAATGAATTCACCAACTCGAATTAGTTTTTACTTTTCAACAAATAAGTGAAAAAGCCTCCAGTAACCTTCCGAGAGTTTTCCGATGCTCGCTGTTAACAGTTGAACAATTTTACTGCTCATATCTTGAATAATTATTGGTTACTATCAATTTCATTCTATGAATATAATTATTTGTTTCAGTTAACTACCTTAACGATCCAAAGATTTTTCTGGAAAAACTACTTTTCGAGTCCTGAAGCCTTTATATGAACATTTATCTTATAGAACCTGAATTTGCGTAAAAAGACAGTGCTAAACATTCCTGTACATAAAAATGAAATATTCAAACGACCTTTTTCCTATAATATCTCCTCCACAATGAATTATCTCCATAAATGGGAAAACAATTGTTTTAACATGTCAGAAATTGTTGTTCAAAGTAGGTTTGAACAGCAACTGTTCAGCATTCAGAATAACTAGGTCCGTGGCGAGAATTCTGAAAAAGAATTAGAAAATAACAAAGCCGAAAACTACAAAAAGCTAGTTGAAAATATGCTAAAATATTTTGAGGCCTTGGGCTGCAGGATATCATTGAAAGTACATATGCTGCATGCTCATTTTGATAAATTCAAAAACAACATGGGAGCGTATTCAGAAGAGCAAAGAGAACGTTTTCACCAGGACATTATGAGCTTCGAACAACGTTATCTAGGCCAATACAATGAAAACATGATGGGAGACTATAATTGGGGTTTATTGAGAGATAAACCTATGAACACAAAAAAAGTAAAAGTGTGCACTTTTAAATTATTTTCTACTTTCTTGTGAGTTATTTTGATAGTAAAACTTAATAAAAATGATAAAAATGTTATTTAAATGGTAGTTTCGTATATAAATAGTCGGGTAAGAGAACTAGAAATACATCTTAACAAGTTGTTCAAAAATATTAACAATTTCGTCCCACCTCACAGCATTTACACAGCACTGACTTTAGTATAAAACATAAGGAACCAAACCACGTCACATAATTCAATTCGATGCAAAGAGTATGTTCTCCAACCGTACGAGTGCAAGCCCCTCATTTTGGACATTTTAGATCTAGCCAAAGTAGACCATATCACTTTCTTTGAAGTTTCAACAGCTTTCGATGTGTATCTAAATCAGAGCTACCTGCAGTTCAATAATAAATTTTATAAACAGGATTCAGGTTTACCAATAGGCTCACCCCTCAGTCCACTTCTAGCAGACATATTTACCCACATAGACACTATTTAGGACAAGATGTAAAAAAATTGCTGTGTGATTCATTAGTGCTTTCCCAATTCAACTATTGTGATATTGAATATGGGCCATGTTTAGATGGCATGGATAGTCAGCGTATCCAGAAAATCCAGAACTGCTGTTTGAGACTTATTTTTGGCATAAAAAGCAAGCAGAGGATTTCCCATGAAATTAAAGAAATTGAATGGCTCAATATGTCCAACAGGCGTAAATTACATATTTTCTGCTACTTCTACAAACTTTTGAAATACAAACAACCCAACTATCTCCATGATATAGTCATATATAGAAAAGACATACATGATGAAAATACTCGACAAAATTTTTTTATCACCATTCCTCGACATAGAAAGGAAATTTTCAAACGTAGTTTTTCATATAATATTGCTAGTTACATGAATACGTATAAGATAGCCGACTACACTAGGTCGTGTTTCTCTTTGAAAAAAGCCATGACTGTATGTTTGCGTGAACTACAAAAATGAAATATAATTGAAAATATCTCCTAACTCAGAGCAAAAAACTAAAATTCTCACAGCTGCGTCATGCAACCTGGCGGTTTCATGACCCAAAGGAATCACTGCCCTCACAAGTGAAAATAAATTTTAAAAAGGGTTCCTATCTTTCCTATCTTTTCTTTTTTTTTTCTCTTGCTTTCCTCTAGTCTTCTTCTTCTTGTTTACTGGTACTAGTCAGTAGGTATATTTTAGTTTTAAGTTTAGTTTGTAGTGAGGGTCTGAGTGGAAGACCAGTTTCTCTCTTCCTGGTGTTGACAGAAAAGTGAACTCTCACCTTTTATTTACCTAGTTTTTTCCATTTTTATCGAAACTTAATATTGGTTGTGAATTTTTGGTAAATAATAAATGAATTATTATTATTGTTATTATTATTATTATTATATTTATGAACAGTTCGGAGACCACTATAGTAAATTCCGACCTGGGTGAAAAACATGATTATTTTTGGTATGTAGATGACATCCTCGCCTGTTTCAGAGGTATTACACGGCAGCTGAACCAATTTGTGACATTCAGAGATAGAGAAACAGATACATTTCTTAGACCTGACCATTACACATAATCAGAATAAATTTGTTTTCAGAAAACCTAGTATAACATACTTATGATGTACTGTTTGGAACCTTTGGTGTAGTAATGAATATTACTGGAGTGTTTTCCCAACACCAAATCGTTATCTTTACACCTCGACACGTGTTTCGATCACCAAGTGATCATCTTCAAGACGAAGATAAAACTAGAAACTTCTCAAAACTAAAGCTATTTATGCTATTCAGGTACATCATACAGGTAGGTAATCAGTAATACGACCCATACAAGTGTACTACCCTAAATTAATTTTACAATTGGCCTTTCTATTATTTTACAATATGTCCTTATGTATGTTTAAATGTTACAGCTATATATAGAACAATTTTCAGCTATATAAAGTTAGTTTCACAATATTGCCTATCTAAATATATTTACAATGTGTCTTTTTTGTAGTTATCAGTAAACCCAACAATATTATTTCAACAAGCTATATAGTATGCTATTTGGTATTGGTCCGTTATCGTTATTCATAATATTATTATGTTCACTTATTTCTACACTCTCATAGGCATCTAGTTGCCTATTGTTGTTAACTTGTCTAACTAATCTTAAAGAACTGAAGTCTATGGAATGGTTTTTTTGCAAAATATGAGGGGCGACTGCTTATTTTTCAGGTCTTCCATATTTTAAGTGTGCTATGTGTTCCTTATATCTCACTTTATTAGATCTTTTTGTCTGTCCATAATATTTTGCATCGCAGTCCTTACATTCAATTTGGTAAATTCCACACTTTTCCAAATTCTCGACTTCCATCATCCATCAATTTATTGGTTTCATTTTCAATTGAAAATTAAAACTTCAGATTTTGAAATATATCGTTAAAACAGTCCCCTAAATAAAAAAGCAAAGTTATTCATACATTATTTTTTTTCGTCTAATTACGACCTAAAGAATTGAGATTTAATGCTTCAAAGTTAAAGTCAAATTTTGTGTTGATCCGTGAATTATCAAGATGAATGGAATACTCCTTGTTTTCCGAATACTCCTTGTTTTCCGAATACAATATTCACTATTTTATTCTCTACAAATACGGAAAACTGAAAAGAGAACAAGTATTTTTCTACGGATGCTATACAATGTGCCACTTTTCTCATCGCTTTCATACGTTCAAAAGATTTCTCACGCAGTGAGAAATATCCGCCATTGCAGTGAGAAATAATTTCTCACTGTTATCACGATAACCCAAGTCAGTCATGAATTGTTACATGTCAGATTGATATAACACGTTATCCATGTTGACAACGCTACGCCGACGATTCGCGGCCAATATCCAAGTAGCCCATTGTCGGCGTTTCCATAACAACAAAACCGAAACACTGCATGATTATTGCTGTCAACTTGCCCAACGAAAATAGTTTTATTGTTGATTTTTATAGTATAAACAGTTCAGGTTTATTAAATATTAAATATAATGGAATACGAAGATTTAGAGTTGGAAAATACGCCTCCAGAAATTGTTCAGAAAGTAATAGATGTTTGCAATAATTTGCTACCAAGCACATCGAGAGAAAAATATGAAATCGTTTACAGAAACCTTATGGGCTGTAAAATGAAAGCCAAGGTAAATTCTTGTTCCGAAAATACCTTGTTAGTTTATTTTGAAGAGTTGTCAAGAAGATTGACATCATCAACATTATGGTCTCAATACTCGATGTTGAGGAGTACCTTAATTATTAAAAAGTGTGTTGATATACAGGGCTTAACATGATGAGCTTTAATTAGCCGTTTCTGACAAACTATTCAACAGATCAACCTGAAAATTTCACAGTATGCATAAATCAATATGACCTACACGCCTAAAATATTTCAGACGAAGCGGCGTTGTCGCTTCTACTATAAAGTAGCGGCTTCTTTGATTTTTCAAATGGAACACACCATATATAATATCATATTATGATTCATTATCACTTTGTCAACAAATTCATATACTATTTCCCTATACCTATCTATTACTAAACGCCATGGGGGTTGGAAATCCAGCAATGTTGCTGAATCTTATATCGACAACTCCATAGCTAACAAAATGAAAATTTCAAAAGGATAGTAGAATCCATTCAGCCTCCAGCGCCATTAGAACCTGAACACAACAATGCTCAAAACGTTTCCCATCGACTTCAACTTCGCCGCAGCTAATATTTCAATTACAGAAAACATGTTGAAACAAAACGACCTACCAGGAATTACTTTACAAAATTGTTCAAATATAATTGTTGATTACTATTTTAGATAAAATATAAAAATCAGGTAATGACATACAAGTTACTTTTATGTATTTTAATTTTCAATACTTGAAAACAACGCAACCGTAGAAAAAGTACAGTGCGTGAGAAAATGACATATTTCTCACTCGCTTGATTTGCAACAAACTTCTGCTCTCGTGAGGAATATGTCGTTTTTCTCACTTGTTGTAGGTACAATATACTATTCTTTTTTGAAAATTTAACATAAAAACGTCATTCAAGTCACTGATTATTGTTTTTACGTTCAATGCGGAATGGAATAAATTAAACATTAAAAACACAATGAATTATATACTCACTGTTATCATTCGACGAGGAGGTAATCGTGCCATAGGGATAATAGTTGTCGGTCAAAGCAGGAGGGGGGGTGTCCTGATTTTCCGGCATAGGACTCAGAGGAGCTTTCAAGTAAGTACTCGTGATAGCACTATCCGAATAAGCAGGCAACAAAGTACTCGAAGAACCCCAGTCCCTTTCACATTGTTGCTGATAAACCGAAGGGTAATCATAATTCGTGTAATGCGACGCAGATACGGATGAAACTTGCGGCGAACCGGCGTTATAAGAACAAGTAGAATATTCTTGAGGTTGCATCAAGGTCTGGTGATCATACCCCGTGGTTTGGTTTACTATCCCAGCCATATTATTTGTGAAGAATGTTCCCGGATGGTACTGCGGTTTCATAGCTTGGCATTTTCTCCGGAAACCTCTGGGCCGCCTTCTGAAAGAGCCCTCTTCGAACATGAACTCACTGGCAGGGTCGATTGTCCAGTAGTGTCCCTTACCCGGCCTCCCTAGTCCTTTGGGCAGCTTGATGAAACACTCGTTCAAAGATAAATTATGCCGCACTGAATTTTTCCAACCCTGGTAGGAGCCACGAAAAAACGGAAACCTTTGCTGCAGAAACGTGTATATTTCACTAAGCGTCAGCCTTTTAGTTGGAGAATGTTGAATGGCCATCACTATCAACGCTATGTAGGAATACGGTGGTTTTTCTTGTCGGCGTATTCCAGATTTTTTGTCAGAACTGGAAGGCTTCGTGTCGGGGTCCTGGGTTGTCGTTTCCGGAGATACATGTTGTGTTGACGTCTGCGGTTGGTCATTCGATAAAATAACACTAGTGTGATTCTGGTGGAGATGAAGTTGATGTAGATGCTGTTGGATGTTGATGTTCTGATGCACGACTGGCGAAAGCTGAGTGGACGCACTGACTTCGGCTAACTGTTGCTCCTTCATCATACTTTAAACATTTACTCGTATAAAGCAAACAATTTAAACTTTCGTCTTTATATTACAAACATTTGATACTCGTAACGAGTTGTATACACAAATATTGTATACAGAGTTTATATACAAAACACGCGACGGTTCTGTATACAAATGTCGGAGGCCGTAAATTTGAATAAATTTGAATGATACTGAATGCGAACTGATAGACGGTCAGTTATCGAGTAAAACCCGAGTTGTGCTGTTGTAAGAATGTGGTTAGGTTATCCGTTTCGCGCTGCTCTGGTTTGGAAGACTGATTTCAGGCGGGACTTCACTTTTCATGTGCATGTGGGTTGTTCCCGGCCGTATCCCCGCACGTCTCTGCGACTTTGGCACTTAAGTCGCTATCCTGTCTCGAACGGGATGCGCCAACGGAGTTTTGCTGCAAGTGATGTTGATGTCTACATAT